CAATGCCTCTACTATACAATGCTTCGAACATATTAAACTCAAAATTGTATCTCTACCATATAACTTAATTTTAAAAGTATGAACAATTGCCTGGAAAAAAACAAAAATATCAAGTGGTAATTTAGAGTGAATATTGTGACAGTATCATTTTTTTTATATTAGCAACTCTTTAAAGCAGAATTGCTAGGCAATGAACTCAAGTCTTGAGGCAATAAGAAAGAACTCCCATTTTAATTTTTTTATATATATTTATTAAGGACACAGAATAGGTAACATTGTAAAATCGTAAAAGGGATGTACTCAACTAACTACATTGAAACAATCATATATTAAGTCCAGGGTGCTTATTACTAGGATTCAAAACTGGACAATCATGACTGGATTAAGCAGCATTCTCCCAGGGGGAAAAAAAAGCTGAATTTTGAGGAAGACTTAAGGAGAAGGCACATGAATTGGAGATAGGAATGTTTCAACTGAGAAACAGGGCAGAGGAAAACACAAGAGTATTTTCTTTTTAAGCGAGAATGAGAAACAAGGTTAGTGAGATGAAGTCGGTGGAAAGCCTTCAAGGCCAACCCGATAAGTTTGGAATTAATTTGATAAGTAACAGGGAACTGTAACAGACACATTCTTAAATGGGAAGGTGGCATTCTAAAGTATGGTCTTCAAAAATTCAAATTTTAGGGGCACTTGGGTAGCTCAGTCAGTGGGGCATCTGACTTCAGTTCAGGTCATGATCTCATGGTTCGTGGGTTCGAGCTCCGCGTTGGGTTCTGTGCTGACAGCTCAGAGCCTAAAGCCTGCTTCCGATTCTGTGTCTCCCTCTCTCTATGCCCCTCCCTCTCTCAAAAATAAACAAACATTAAAAAAAAAGTTCAAACTTTGTTCCAAGGAGAGTACTGCCTTGAATTAAACAATCTTTAATAACTGGGGGGTGGCGGGGAGAATCTATTATCCATTATGTGTGCTTTATATACATACTGTTCTGAAAAAGAAAAACTAAAGAAAAAAGTTTAAATAATGGGTAAATACGTCAGTAAGATAGGTCCTTTCAAATATAATAGTATCTATAATAATTTCAAGTATTATGCCACTGTATATTTCAATAAGAATCACAGAACTCTAGAGCAAGAAAGGATGCTGGAGACAATCTTTTTAGTGACAACCTCTTCATTTTCCCAATGTTTTAAAATGAGGCTCAAAACCAAATAATTTGCTTAATGTCATATATAAACTAGTAGAAGATTCAATATTAAGACTCAGATTTTCTAGGCAGCAAGATCTAAAGCTGTGCTATCCAATATTATAGCTACTAGCAACATCTGGTTATTTAAATTTAAACTGGTTAAAATTAAATACAATTTTAAATTCAGTTCCTCAGGCACGACAGTCACATTCAAGTGCTGCATGCTACACATGATTAAGGACTATCATACCTGACAGTGCAGAAAGAGAGTACTTCCATCACTGCAGAAAGTTTAATTGGACAGCTTATTCTACAGAGTAAGCTTCAGAGGCAGACCTAGTTTCAATTCTACTTATTACGGTGTGATCCTAGTTATTTAATTTCTCTTTGACCCCATTTGGGGGAGGGAGGAAGCAGGGAATTAGCAATACCCACCTCACAAAGTGTACTTGAGGGCTATGTGAGACAACACGAAACGCCCCTTTACGCTGCTATCTGGCACATAAGGGACAGTAAACATTTCCCTTGTGGATCCTTTTTTCTTTCTACTCCTCTAAATAACTTCTTTGTTAAAAGACACAAACACAAGAACACCCAAATTAATATCTTCCCCTCAAGATAATCCACAGTACCTAACTAATTTTCAATCTGTTCCTACCAATTTTTTCAAATATTTGCACCTTCCTTCCAGTGTTGCTACTTAAGAATAATTAAATGAAGGGTGAAGGTGAGGAAAATGCCTCTAACAAAACTTAGAGAATGTGATAAATTTCCCCTCTTATTTTCCACCCCTATTGTATATATGACTATATTGACTGATCATGCAAAGGAAAAGAAATACATTACACTGTTCCTAGATACTGCATTTCCACACCAATAAAGAAGATTCTACAGGGCGCCTGGGTGGCTCAGTCGGTTAAGTGTCCGACTTCGGCTCAGGTCATGATCTCGCAGTTGGTAGGTTCCAGCCACATTGGGCTCTGTGCTGACAGCCAGCTCAGAGCCTGGAGCCAGTTTCAGGTTCTGTGTCTCCCTCTCTCTTTCACCCTCCCCTGCTCACGCTGTCTCTTTCTCTCTGAGAAATAACTAAACATTTAAAAAAAAATTTTTTTAAAGAGGATTCTATAGTACTTCTACATTATACTCCTTATCACCGTTTGTACTACTAGTTGAATATCAAATGAAGAACTAACACCTTCATCTTACAATACTTTCCAGGTAAACAGTAATAAAAAGGATTTCCAGCATGTTAAACTAATCTTCAAGGCTTCACAGCTTAATCTACTAAACTGACAAATTTAACAAATCTAGACTACAGCCTATAAAAAAGTTTTACAACATGCATGCTATTACCTACAAAAACAAAAAAAAATTCAACTCAGCGTGTAGCCAGTGAATTTCCACCAATACTAAATTTTACATAGGAACAATTCATATTTAGCCACATTACGTTAAACAGACTTGTCATTTCTCATCAGGTCACCACTTTTACACTCCTAAAAACTAACATAAAAAATTAAAGAACTTTTAAACATTCATGTTTAAACATCCACGAAACAAAATTTCTACATAGTTTTTAAAGTTTTCTTATTGCTTAAAACTGACCATATCAACTCACAAAAAACAGGCAAGGGGGGGTCCTTCTAGCGTCTCCTTGAAATTTATCTAGCATTCTCTTACCTTGGTCCTTAAAGATAATGTACTCAAAAACATGAGCAATGATCCCCCGTAAAGGATTCAGAGTAAGTCAAATAAATGCCAAAGAGATAACACTGCACCTTGTACTGTCACTTTACAACTCAAATAATTTTATTAGACAAAACTAAAATATTTCGAATACACAAATCATAAAGACTAACAATATTCATTGGGGAGTGGTCACATAATTTTTTTTTAATGAAAAAAGTCTTTATTACTATCCTAAAGTACTTTATACATTAAAAAACAGTTAGGCTTCCATGCCTGAACTGATGAAATCTAATTTGTGACAGTCTATAATTTTTTTAAGTCCTTCAATAATAATGAAGTGTACGTTGGTCACATTAGAATAGGTCAAATGAATATTCCTGAGGCTGCATTCTAAGTACATCTGACCCAGAAAGTATTTTTAGCAAGTGTGTTCAATCAATGCTGGTTTTATGCCTAGCCTAAATTAGAAATTGGGTGTCACAAATTTAAAGTAACATAGTACGGACGTTTTAAAAGATGAGTTAGAACATAAAAAAAACCAAGTATGAAACAATTCTATACCCACAACCCAGAAGCAAAGCAGGTTAGAAAGCAGGCAATAAGAAAGTTATATCCTCTCCATTACTACTTTTGAGGAACGTGTGATTTTCTAACTTAATAAACTTTATGCTACTCAATAAAAACGACAAAACAGTGATGGCTCCTTGTGTTTTTCCCTTTTAAATCTCTGGCCAAATGTTTAAAACTGATTAGCTCAATCATAAATATCCCCATGTACTAAGTGATCATGATCTTCTTATAAACCAAACCACTCAACATAATATGGGACCATGCAAGTTTCAGTGAAAAATGGTGACAAAGATATGTGTGTCGTTTAAAAACAACAAACAAAGAAAACATAAAGAGACATAAAAATAGGTTCTGTGGTAACTGGAGCATAAATTTATTCCGACAAAAAACGGTGGGGTCAACAAAAGACTGCACTCTTTTATTATGAGTCCACAAAGAAGTTCTATACCATACGCAAACTTCGGCTTTTGAAAAATTTTTGAAAAAAGTCGATAGGTTGAATTTATAGTCCTCAAATTCAAGATCTCCCTGACATATCTAGTTCTATTCCATGAAGCACACCTTGGACTATGAGCAATCATTTATTTTAAGGTCAGTTCCTCCTCCCTTAAAAAAAAAAAAAAAAAAAGAAAGAAAAAAATATTTTTGTTTTTGTTCTCTGACACGTTAAGCTTCAAAAATTAGGATTTAAAAAAATCTCGGCTTTTACTGTTCCAGATTTTTTCCCCCAAATCATTCGGATACGTTGGCTTTTGGGTTACGTCCCCCCCCCCCCCAAACACGTTTTAAGCAGCACTGTTTCCACCAGACCCAAGATCTGGTCACATAAACCTAATATTATTCCAGCTCTGATTTAAAGGCAGTTAGTACATTGCAGCTATATAGGCTCCCCCGAACAAGCGCCTGAAGATCCTACAGTTCGTTTTTGGCTGTGCTGGTGTCACAATGTAAGGTAACCCTAGACATAAAAGCCAAATTTCGCAGAAACACCCATCCATAGATCTGTGCAACTGTAAACTGTTCCATTTTTCGGAAACCTTGGGAGATGCATCGGTACGTCTACTCCGCGACATCTCAACTTTCCCTGGCCCAACTACAGATTCCTAAACCCAAGTACATAATCCGGCAGAATCGCAAGAGGCTTCAAACTTCAATGGCAGGGGCGGTGCGCCCATGCAGCATCAAGGAGCACTGCTACGAGCCCATTAAAAAAAAGAAAAGAAAAACAAAACAGAAAAAGGAACCCTACCACCGACGGAAACTCGAAGATTCTAAATCGTTACCTAGAGTTTAGGTACCGTGGAACATTCCATCTCCGCACCGATTCCATTCCCTTCTCCCTTCGCTCGCCCCTCACAGACTCCAACGCTGACCCCGGGAGCTGCGAGCGCAGAGGTCCCGAGGAGCGAGAGGGGCGGGGGGGACCAGAATCAAGTCCCCCCCTTCGGCGAAATCCACCTCGCGCCTCCCGCCGGCCCTACCTGGCCCGCCTCCCACCCCCAGGTGACACCCGGCGCAGGGCCGCGAGGCCGGCCGCAACCCCGGAGCCTCTTACCTTCGGTGCACAGCCGCGTCCTCTCGGCTGGAGAAGAAAAGCCCCGAGGCCCGGGCGCGCCGGGGCGAAGCGCGTCCGCCGCGCCGCTCCCGGGGGCTCCCTCAGCGCCCCCCCAGCAGCCGCCGCCGCAGCGGCCGCGCCACGGCCCCGAGCCGCCAGCACCACCTCATACTGCGGGGCTGCAGCGGGCCGCCGCCGCCGGGGAGGCGGGAGGGAGGCGGGCGGCCGGCGCGCTCTCCCACCTCCCTGCGGGGATGAGATAATCCACACACCCCCAAAGTGCCGTGGGGGGAGGGGAGCCCCGGGGCCGGGGGCCTGGCCCCAAACCTCCGACCCAAGCCAAATCTCTCCAGTCCCCGACTCAGGCCCGGAATTCAGCCCGCGGGGACCCAGGAGTCCTGAGAGAACAATGTGGGGGGGCCGCGAGGAGCGGAAAAGCGCGCAGCGCGGCGTGAGCGGGCGGGTAATCCGGGGCAGCGTTTGTGTGTGAGAGTGCAAGAGGAGCTCAACCTCCCCCCTCCTTCTCCTCCTCCTCCCCTTCCTCCTCCTCCCCCTCCGTCTCCTCCTCCTCCCTCAAGCACACCCCGTCTCCCGGGCCACAGCATAGCAACCGAACATGGCGGCTGCGCAGACGCCGCCACTCAGCGGCCGGGAGCGGCGGCGGCCGCAACCGGAGGCGATCTCGCGAGAGGCGAGGCCAAAAAAAAAAAAAAAAAACAACCCTCCCAGCTTACAGCCAACAGGAGAGGTTGCACCCGCGCGGGAGCCGGGGGACACGCAGGTGCGAGGGAGACTGGACCTGGGTAGGTTGGGGCGGGAGGGCTGGGAGGAGGGGCGGGGCGCTGTGGCTCCGCCCCTTGCCCCAGCAGCGATTGGTAACTTGAACTGCGACCCCTGCTGGACCTACTGACCCAAGGAACGGGCCAAGGGGCAGAAACCTAAGTTTTAAAGGGGAAAACCAGACCTCTAGGCCCCAAGTGTCCCAACTTCAGTGCTAATAGAGGATACAGGTTTTAGGATGTAGTTTTGAATCATTTCCTCTCCTAAATATAGACTCTAAAACAAAGAACAAACAATGTTCTTTTATAAAACAAACGTCTGGATGCCAGGAGCGGTGTGCTTTTAAAAATTGAATTCATTCATTATGATACCGCATGTGAATTTGGGGTTATCACGCCAGGGGTCTTAGCCACGTGCATTCATATTTTATTGATGATACAAACTTATTTGTGTAAGACAGATGCCGAAGAGCTGGGTGATCTCAGCTGAAATGATGGGAGGAAGGATTTGGGGACCGGCACACTTTCTTTTTCCAATTATTGTTGCCGTGCCTGGTGCCTTCTTGCTCTTCCTTGCACTTATCAGTAAAACACCGGAGCCGAAGTCATACAAGCGTTCTTTCAAGTATCGCTTTTAATCCAAGCCAACAAAATGCCTGTTTATTAATCAAAGCTGGTTTTGACAAGATGAAATCTTGTAAATGTGTACAGATCGGCGAAAGACAGCGATTTCTATTGAACCCTTTGCTCCTTCGCATACCCGCTCGGTTTTTCCATTTTATTTTTTTTTAATGTTTTATTTATTTCTAGGAGAGAGAGAGAGAGAGACAGCGTGAGCAGGGGAGGGTCAGAGAGAGAGGGAGTCACAGACGGAAACAAGCTCCAGGCTCTGAGCTGGCAGTCAGCACAGAGCCCGACGCGGGACTCGAACCCACGAACCGCGAGATCATGACCTAAGCGAAAGTCGGACGCTTAACCGACTGAGCCACCCAGGCGCGCCACGGTTTTTCCATTTTAAAAAGACAGCTTGTCAGTCCGTATTTTTCCTGCTTTACCTCTTCTACTTACTGCCCTTCCCAAAGCTTAGGTTCCAAGGAGTGTTTATTCATCCTTCCCTAAATATGCTTTCCTGCATCTAGCGCTCTTTTTTCCATGCCTTTGTTCATACTACTCCCCTTACTAAAATGCTCTTCACTTCATCTCCACCTATCAACATCCAGTCATCCTCCAATCAAAGATCATGCAGGATTTCCACCAGAAGTAAGAATTCCTTCCTCCTTTGACATTTATAGTTCTTGGTTTATGCCTCCCTTTTGTTTTTAATAGGATACTTATGTTTGTGTGGGCCTTGTCGCCACTACTACCTGGTAACCCACTGACGGTAATCATCTTTGTATCAAACTCATAATATAAATACAGCTGCAGTCTCCACATTGGAGGGGCTGAAAGAGACACTCTTTGTTTTGTGAAAGTCCACAGGATGAGACCTTTAGGTAAATAAATGAAAGCCTCATATCCATCTACTGTTCTTTAGGAAAATTATAAAGTCACTTTTTAAAAAATTGATACATGTGGGACACCTGGGTGGCTTAGTCAGTTAAGCGTCTGACTTTGGCTCAGATTACCATCTCATGGTTTGTGGGTTCAAGCCCTAAGCCCTGTGACTCTGCTGTCAGTGCAGAGCCCGCTTAGGGTTCTCTGTCTCTCTCTCTTTTTGACCCTCCCCTACACATGTGCTCGCTCTCTCTCTTTCTCTCTCTCTCTCTCCCTCACATTATCAAAAATAAACATTTTTTAAAATTGGCATATAATTCACACACCGTAAAATTCATCCCTTTAAAGTATACAGGAGCACCTGGCTGGCTCAGTTGGTTAAGCATCCAACTTGGGCTCAGGTCATGATCTCGTGGTTTGTGAGTTTGAGCCCCTTGTCGGGCTCTGTGCTGACAGCTCAAAGCCCAGAACCTGCTTCAGGTTGTGTGTTTCCCTCTTTCTGTGTCTCTCTCTAAAATAAATAACATTAAAAAATAATAATAATAATAATAAAGTGTACAGTTCAATTCTTTTTAGTACATTTGCAAAGTTGTGCAACCATCACCACAATCTACTTCCAAAACATCATCACCCCCAACAACCTCTCCTGCCCATTAGCAGTCGCTTTCCACTCACTCCTCTGCCAGCCCCTGACAACCACTAATCTATTTCTGCCTTTATAGACTTGCCTACTCTGGACATTGCATGTAAATGAAATTATACATAATGCAAATTCTCCACAAAAATATGTAAATGTTTGCTCACCTTTAAATTACAATCTAAATATGTAAATTACAATCTAAATATGTAAATTAAAATTAACCTATGCCTTTCTAGATCATTTTGATGATCACCTTGTAACCAAACACTGCCATCTGATTTCATATTTGGCACCAAGAACTGTACCTTTAATTTTTCTGGGGCAAATGAGAAAAAGGTAGAATACTTCTTGGGGCGCCTGGGCAGCTCAGTCAGATCAGTGCCTGACTCTTGGTTTCAACTCAGGCCATGATCTCGCCACCGTTCATGGGTTTAAGCCCTGCATTGGGCTCTATGCCGATAGCACGGAGCCTCCTTGGATTCTCTGTCTTGTCTCTCTGCCCCTCCCCTGCTGGTGATCTCTCAAAAAAAATAAATAAACTTAAAAAAAAAAAAAAGAGTACTTCTTGGGGAAATGACAACGTTCTGCCTAAGTGAAGATCAAGCATCCTCCTGGCACACCATGCAAAAGTTTCACAGAAATTTAAACAGAGAAGAATGTACGGATAATTCCATTGGTTATAATAAGTATGCTTTAAAAACCCAGGCCATCTCAGTGAGTTCCATTTTCTCATCACAAGGGACACTCTAATTTCAGCAGAACAACATCATCTACCACACTACATGCATAGTATTATTTGAATTTTTAACTTTGTTGATTTAATTTGCACAACTGTTAAGTTTATAGGTGTAGAAACGCTGTGAGAATAAGGACTTTATACCTAATCTTATGTCTGGCCATGATTAAGGATCATAATTTAAATAATTTAATTTTACACTTGAGAGGTAGCAAGGTTTTTCTTTGCATTTAAAAGTGGCCCCGAACACTGCTAGATATTGGCCGACACTGCTGTTGACTGTGATTTTCCCCCTTGTCTGCAGCCTGTCCTCAGCTGTGCTCTGGGAGTAAGGGTTGTGTCCACACTTGAAGGGTGTTGGCAGGGGAGGACTGGCCTTTTGGCACTGTGGAGTTGACATTAGGACCTCTTCTAACCCTGGGTAGCCACAGCCAAGAAGGAATGGGCACTTGTTCTAGCCTGTGCAGCCAAGCCATGCTGCCTGGACCTTGGCAGTGACCTCTGGCAGCCACAAGGCAACAGAGAAGGAAGGACGCAAGGATCAGGCACTGTGGCTCAGCTGCCCTTGCCATCAGCAACCCGAGAGGATCCCCTTGGAAGAAATAAGTGATCCTTAGGTCAGAGGAGATATCTAGGGAGGAGAACCTCAAAGGAAATCTGGACTCAGCTTGCCAGGTAGACTGCAGAGTACTGTGAATTGTAACATTGAAAAACACATGGCTTGAAGTGACTTGATTTTGTTGCCCAAGCTGATGAAGTGGAACATACAAGGTACAGGCGCTCAGATACCTGGGTTCTGACACGTGACCTTAATTGGCTATCTAAGGGCTCAGTCTGTTGAGTGCCCCACTGCCACTCAAGTCGTGATCTCGCACTTTGTGGGTTCGAGCCCTGCGTCGGGCTTGTTGCTGTCAGCACAGAGCCTGGAGCCTGGAGCCTGCTTCAGATGTCTCTCTGCCTCTCCCCCCGCTCGCATGCTCTCTTTCTATCAAAAAATAAATACAATATTAAAAAAAATTTTTTTTAATGGATATCTACCTGCCTTAGACTGACAACAAAGGGACAAAGGGGGAATTTCATCTTTTTACCTATCTGGAATCTTCAGAAATAACTTAAAGGGGGGCACCTGGGTGGCTCAGTTAAGCGTCTGACTCTTAATTTCGGCTTAGGTCATCATCTCACAGTCATGAGATGGAGCCGCGAGTTGCCCCCTCCACCGCCCTGCACTGGGTGTGGAGCCTGCTTAAGATTCTCTCTCTCCCTCTCCCTCTGCTCCCCCTCACCTTCTGCCCCTCTCTTTCAAACAAACAAAACAACTTATAGAATTTAAACCTTTAAGGAGGCGTCATGTATTTTTCCTACAAGTTCAGAATTCTGTGGCTTGGGCTTCTTTTAATCATGGAACTACCTTAAATACACTTTTTTTTAAGTACTTATTTTTTAAAATTAGATAGCATGTATATCTGAAGCAGTTGGCCCAGATTTGATCACTCTGTCAACATGGCCCTCGCCTCTTCACTTGCCAGCAATTCTTCCTTCCTTCCTTCCTTCTTTCCTCTCTAAAGCAGCAGAAGACCCATGTTAGCAATCCCTGAGATCAAGAACTATATAGAAAAATCTAAAACTTTAAACATCAAAGACTTCCTCCTGCTTTCCCACTCTCTAAAGTTAAGGCACTACTAACAGCTTCTTGTATATACTTCTAGAATTTTCTCCACATCTGTAGGCTAATGTATATCTTTTCTCCTACATATAAAGGATTATACTATATGTATAATATTTCCCTTACAAATGTCCCAAA